CCCTGAACCGCCTCCTGGGCCTGGGTGGAAGAGCTGGGCTCTGCTAAGTGTGGCACCAAAGCCATGGCAGCAGGAGGGCCACTCTGGCGGGTGCAGGAGTATAGTCACCCACAAAGGTGCTGCTCCCTCCTCTCCTAGGCGGCGGGGAACAGGTTTGCTGCTTCCCTGCACCCTCCTCTATTGCTCCTATGCACCCAGGCTGATTTGCACCTGAGTACCAGGAAGAAGCATGGGGACTCCCCAATGGCTCATCGCAAGCGCACACCCCAGCTTTTGCTACTGGCTGTGCAGCCCCAGCTGCTTTTGAGATCTGGCGCAGTTGCAGTGCTTTGGTACCGTGCCTATATGGAGATGGGAGCTCCCTTTGGCATCCACAGATGGCCTTCAGCAAGCAGAGTCGTTTCCTTTCCTCCAGCTTCTGGTCTCCTCTAGGGAACGATCATTTAGGGAATGATCGTTTTGGTCTTGGATGTCTGGGTCCTTGCTGGTTATTTAGCTTTAGATGCCAAAGTTCGGTTTCTTGCAGAGAACCAATAAAGGAAGGAAAATATTGGGGAGGCGTCCTTGTTGGTTATATTGCTTGGCAGCCACGTTCCTGCCTGATATTCTCACAAGCTAAAAACTGGCCTCACCTGGTCTGAAGGTCAGTATCTTTTTAACATAAAGTCACAGAGCTGAGGTAACGGTAACTTACTAGATTGGTAGTGCCCAAATTCATCCTTTCCAAGCAGAAAAGAGGGGCAGCAGAATGCAGCAGAGGAATGCAGTTCAAGTTTCAGAACCTACCTTATTTTCACAACATTTCAGTTGTCTTGTGTGATCTTGGTTGAGGAGGTTAGTATGAAACATCAGAAATGCTAAGAGATCTGATTGTCCTCCAGTGGGAACAGTAGGTTTTTCACCTCTTTAAAAAATAGGGAATTTGTCTTTCAACTCTCTCTCTTTTGCATAACAGAGGTAATGACAATGAATACCTTTCATAAAGAGCTTTAGTTTCTCTAAGTGAAAAGTGCACAGTGATTTTTGAGTATTTATGTTCTTGCCTGAGAGATGCTGCTGTAAGAAACCCATGGAAAATCTGTTCTGTTTTCATGAGTCTAGACAGTTCGGAATTCATATGGGAAAGACCTGTTTGCTTGCCAATGAGATCAAGGTTTTGTCAGTCTTTGAGAGCCTGGATTTTGGTTTCGTTTCTTGTGTTTTCCTGCAGTAAGATACTTGTGGGTTAGCTATTTCACAATGAACGCCTCAGGTGAAACAAGATGTGTTGAAGTAGGATGACCCTTTTAACCCTTTCAGTTGGCACTTTCCAAACCTCCCTCCTTCCTTCCCTCCCCTCCTATCATGCATCCCATGCAAGAGCCGTTCTACCATGGCACTGCAAAACCTGTCCTGTTCTCTGGGGTGTACTCCCGACAGTGTATCCTACACTCGCACTGTTTGCATTGCCTTATCGAAGGGAACCAGTGATAACTTTGCTATTGTTAATGACAAGCACAACTTATTGTGTTATCAAAGTTTAAACAAGATAGAGGTGTCACTGGAGTGTGGCTAAACTAACGTATAGCTTTTGAGAAACTTTGTAAAACTTTGCTCAGTGGATGCAGCTCCTTGGATAGAAAATGCTGTGGAGGCTGTTATAGAAGAGGTCAGAAAGTAAAAAACAAGAGCTTTATGAAAAGAAAAAGAAAAGGGAGATTGAGGTGTACTGTTCTGAAGTGATAAACGGATTAAGTAAAGCTATAATGCTAAAGCCCAAAATGTAATCCTGTCTTCATCCTAGTCACCACTAGGTAACATTCTGATGACTATCTTATTAAGATCTTGACGAAATTCATTAGATGTTCATATGAACAGATGGCACCGCCGAGCTGATCTGGTTAGGATGATGAAGCGAGGCAATCCCACCCTGTGCGCTTTTGGGCCCAAAGAATTATCTTCTCCAGCCTGGAGGGACAGTTCTACAATGCAGAAGTAGAACATGAGTGATGCGCTACATAATGAATAGTAACAGTTGCTTCAGAGAAAAGAATTCAGTCTATAAGACAGGTGGACTGCTCAAGCTGTATTCTGTCAGGGAGAGATGGGACTCACATCCTAACTGGGATTCATATCTCTGAACAGCTTAACGAGAGGGATTGTGAGGCATCCCTTCACGCACTGTTTGTGAAGTACTATGAAGTCTCTGGGTACAACTCCTATACGAGGCCAAGGGAGACGTACTTCAGTTGTCGGTCTGGTCCAAGGTGAAAGCTGTGATGGGATGTCTGTTCCTGCCAGCTGACTGTCCTCTGTGTTCTTGTTTGCAGGTTGCCTCTCCCTGCTGGTAACGGTTCAGGATGCTGAGCGTTATACCACTTTATTTGCCAGTGTGGTCCTCAAGTGTGACTACAGCACCTCAGCGCAGCTGCAGGATGTGGTGGTGACCTGGCGCTTCAAATCCTTCTGCAAGGATCCCATCTTTGACTACTACTCAGTCTGTGAGTGTCAGGCTTGTTCTCCAAGGGATTCCTCTTTAAACAGAAGCGTGGGGAAGGTAGACTTACTGAGGAATATAGGCTTTTGACTCTTCTCTGCCCGCAGACCAGGTCAGGTGGTGGTACTTCTCTGGGCTCCAAGGAGAAGAGGGCATGGCTGTGATTTTCTTTGCAGTGTCAAGGCTTTATGACACCGTGTCATAGAAATCCCAGCCAAAGCAGCCCATCTGTCCTCCTTGTCATCAGCTCGGAAGGTAAAGAGGCTCGGCTGTTTTTGGCACACGTCAAACTTGGCAGCCCTATGCTCTGCTTCTGTATAGTTGAAAGCAAGGGCCCTGTAACAAGTGGACTTTATGATTTCATGGGGGGCGAGGGGTCCGTGGTTGGAGCTAGTGACCAGTGAATAGGTGTTACTGACTTTAGGAAGTAGAAGAAACATCTGCATTTTGGAGGGTAGAAGGACTTCTAAGACATGTGCGGCCTTGTTTCCGGAGTGTTTAAAATGGTTGTTCAGGTATATTTAGGCTGCCTTTCCTTAGCTTAGCTCTACACTTAAGACTGTACACTTAAGACTGAGCTCAAAGTGGGGAGCCTGGGCTTGTTTGGTGCTGCAGCACCCAAACTCTCCATCATGCAGTCTAGAGGGGTTGAGCAGGCACGTTACCAAGTCCAGGAGCAGGTGGATCCTCTCAGCTCCCAAATACCTGGCAATTCAATGTTAGATTGTACTGCAAGTCTTTCATAAGAGCGATGGACAATAATTGCCTCTAATCCTCCATTAATTCTGTTGAGTCTCTCTACACATAATCTTGTGGTGGAATCAGACGATCAATTCTCTTCTGTCTTTATGAACCGCACAATGTGTATTGGGTACAGGAAGGAAAGGCAGACAATCCCTACAGCAGTTCATACGTGTCTAGAGATTTTGATTTTGAAATAAACACACTTTTGGTATTGCTCCAGTAGTCCTAATGAGCTGTATGACTTTTTTCCTTGCTGTTTGTCTTCATGCTGAGAGCTGCCGTCCTGCCAACCGTCATTAGCTTCTTTCTACTATCATGCTTTCAGTTGTGAGTGCAGGACGCATCTCCTCTGCAGCCTTTGCATTTTCAAAATCTCTGCCATTTCTGCGGCTTTACTTCTCTTTTAAGTACTCCAGAGTTGCCCTCACTGTTTTGAAGCCATGTTTTGTATTACAAAACCAAAACAAATGCACACGTGCATTCAAGAGTTTTTCTGCTGTTTACAAGGGGATGGAAACTGGGTCTTTGAAATAATGTTTGGGCATTGATTTGATGATGTGTGTTTGTAGCATACCAGGCTGGTTTAGCTCTTGGCCAGGATCCATCTAATGACTGTAATGACAGCCAGCGAAAGGTGCGCATTGTCATCCAGAGATATGGGCAGAATGAGCCTGTACTGGGCATCGATTACCGGCAACGGAAGATCACCATTCAGAACCGTAAGTGACTTAACTTCCCAGGCAGGCAAGTGAACCCAGTAAATTTCTAATATCTGGGCCTAATAGGTGAAGAGAAACATGTACATGGCTAATATCATCTGTAGCTTACATATTCTGTGAGGTGGCAATGGATCAAGAGTTGTGAGTGGCCAAATTGCCTTTCCCTGGGCTGAGGATATTGAAGGCTCTGCAAGCTAAGGCAAGAGTTTGAGGATGCCTGAGCATTTCACTGCAGAGTGCAGAGGTGAGCTGAAGAGCTCAGAGGCTAGGAGACAATTCTTTCCTCTAAGAAATACTGAATACTTGCCCGGGTGCAACATGTGCTCTCTGCTGTCTCTGGAGAAATAGCTATTGATACTGACAGAAAAGAATTATTGGACTGGCTGGCCTAATGTGGTACAGTGACCCATACTCAGTGCCTAACCTGAAACAGCTTTAAGGTGTGAGGTTAGGTTACGTCCTAGACATGGTAAACATCCTAGGCATGTTTATTCTATTGTACATTTGTTCTATTCTACTCCTTTTTTATCTGATGTGGCTCCCTGAAACCCTTCCGCTGCAGCCCCTTCCCAGGCTAAAACACGACGATTTTGCAATGAGAGGAGAGGAAGGAGGGAAAGATTATGAAATGTGAGCTCAGAAAGAGGTGCATACATTATAGTGTTTTCCTTGTCTTTGATGGAGTTAATGAGGGACCCTGCTTGCCAGTTGGGTTGACAGTGCTCCGAAATCAGTGTTGTAGTTGGCAGCAGCAGATTTCTGTTAAAATCCATCACTCAGCAGCGCTCTAGTATTTCACTCCACACAGAATTAGCTCCACTTGTAAGTAATGTTGCCTTCCAGCAACGCAAAGAGAAAAGGGATCGGCAGTTAATGCCACTTACAGGAGTTCTTCATAGACTAAAATGGTAGCATGTTGTATTCGTTTGAAGATGATGGCGGCCCACTGGAAGAGGGGAGGTGCAGTGCCACATGTCACCTGCAAGCGCAAGGGTCCTCTTAGAGAGAGGCCTGAAAGCAGTGCCAGTCTTGAAGAGCCCACTGACCTCTGTGTCCTTCTCCCACAGGGGCTGACCTTGTCATCAGCGAGGTCATGTGGTGGGACCATGGTGTATATTACTGCACTGTGGAAGCACCAGGAGATACATCAGGTGACCCAGACAAGGAAGTTAAGCTAATTGTTCTGCGTAAGTGCCTGTGGTCTGTCCCCTGGGTGTCCCCTGTCCTCTTCCCACCCCAAGATGTCTCCTGGAATGGAGTGACGCTTAGTAACTTACTGGCTACAGGTAGATCAGGATCCTCTCTCTCTCTCTCTCTCTCTCTGTTTCTCCCATAGACTGGCTCACGGTACTCCTTATCATCCTTGGTGGGCTCCTCCTCCTCCTGCTAATTGGAGTGTGCTGGTGCCAGTGCTGCCCACAGTATTGCTGCTGCCACATCCCATGCGTCTGCTGCCCAACCCGCTGCTGCTGTAACGAGAAAGGTGAGGTGCAAGCAAATGTATGTCCAATCATGGCTTCTGTCAAGAAAAAAGCCTGACACATAGCTTGCTGTTCTCCACTTTCTCCCTGCTCTTCAGTGTCAAGATTATCTGAGACATTCCTCTAGCCAACGTAGCCTTCATGACCACCTTATGTGAGAAAAGGGGAGCTAGAATTTGTGGATCCCGTCCTACTCTTCTGGAGTTCTGTGTCCTACTTCCAGAAGTTACTCCCCACTCACAGCTTACTGCCAGCTTCTCTCACAATATCCAGGGCATGGTCACTTCCCTCGTGTGACTAGCTCGGGACTGTTTCTTCCCTGTCCCGTTGTGGTTCCACCTGTGCATCTGAGGGAGGCAAGTGAATGCCTTGTCCTCAGTATCGTGATGCTACTCTCCAAACTGGCCTAGCCTTGAAATGTGCTGCTTTGAGAGGTAGCTGTGTAAAAATTGGAACTTTCTGTCTGTTGGTATTTCAGAACTGCTCCTTCTACAAGAAAGGAGTTTTTGTTTGTTCACTTTTTGTTGGTGAGAGGGGTGGGGAGAAAGAAAGGAAGAAGATGGTCTGTCTTGATGGTCAACCCTGAAAATGCTTTCTGAGTTTTTGAGGGTCAAGAGAGACTTTGTTGTGTATAGTTTTCAGCAATAATAAAGATTCTGAAGTCAGTCCCTGTTCTGTTAACAGGGCCAGCCAGACATAGCATTTGAATTCTGTCTACTGGGGTTGTTTAACCTCTGTGTTCTCGTACCTGAAAATTAGCAGTTCTGCAGTGATGCAAACTGGAATAGCCCCCTGTATCTTACATGCTCTGACAGGAACAAAATGCAGTAAACACATTTGCTTGTCACTGAAATCCCCCAGTTCTTCCTAGATGCTGCAAGGAGAGGATTTGTGAACAAGGAGCTGTGGTTTTGGTGACCCTTTGCCTACAAAGTCTTGTGGTATACCTTGGTGTTAGTAAGCTCTCTAAAAGCTGAAAGAAGCTACTGTGCGAGTTTCAGATTTAAGCTTAATTTGCTTAGCCATTGCAAAGGATGAACAGAGCATCCTTCTCATTGGCTAAAACCAAAAACAAACAAAACACTTCCTGGGGACTTTATGATCTCTCAAGTGAAATGCTTGGTGGTGAGGAGGCTATGGAAACCTGGCAGAAAAATCAGTTTCCTTGAGGGAGAGAGAGGTGATGGAGATGCAAGACTCATACATCCAGGCTTCCTGGTTCTCAGTAAAGGAGCATTCAGAATATGCATGAGCTCTTTTTTGTTTTTCTACACTGTAGGAGATAACAGCGCACTCCAGACTGTTGTCTTTCCTGCCTCCTGCTGAGGATAGATAGGAAGGACTTTTTGTGGGGTTCCCAAAACCTCTCCCTGCTCATGAGAGAAGCTGCAGACCAGTCCAGCCTCCTTGGCAGGCTGCTGGGTTCTCTGGCTGTAATTTCCACCCCAGCTATCTGCCTTCTCTGTCCACTTTGCAAGGGATCTGTGTGCCTGTTCTTTTGCACTAGGGCACTTTCTTTTCACTTGTCCCTGCCGCTAACTTATTTTTTGGCCTCCAGAAAAGGAACAGGAGAAGCAGAAGACTGGTATCTTAAAAAACCAGTCGTGAGGAATAACCCTTCTATGCAACTGAAAAGAAAGCAGGATTATCAACTAAATATTAGAATTATCTGAGAGTGAGCTGAATGTGGCTGATTTCTTTCCAGTTATTGGCCACTAGAGGGTAGTCTAGATCTGCTGAACGGACAAAGATGCCACTGGGGCGAGGTAACACTGGGTGTTTTAAAAGTCAGGTCATTAACTAACATGGTTTTGAACCTAGTAATAAAAGGAGTGAATTGTTTGCGTAATTTAGAGTTCATGTTACAGAAATATTAAATATGCCCCGGGGCAAGCCAATTACATTCCCCATGGACAGGTCTGAGAAAAGTCCACTAGTACAAATACCAGGGTAAATATATACATGACCTCCTTCTGTTCCTATTAGCTAGTTCCCTCCTGTGGACTGCTCCCATGAATGAATTAGTGCAAAATAGGATATACTTGCACCTGAGTCTGACTGGGTTGGAAAATAAATTTTTTTAATAATTGGATTTGGTCCAGCAACTGCAAAGTCTGACAAAGGTGAAGAGCAAACTTTCTCAGTGGGGAATGGGTTTGGGGGAACAATGAGGCATCCTGCCAAATTTTTATAACAGTTGTGAATTTTGGAACTGTGAAGAATCTGACAATCTTCAAGTCAGTGTATTTCCAAGAATTTCCAAAAAAGATCTGTAACATTATCTTCATTTTGCAGAGGAGGAACCAGAATACTGAGCTCGTGCTCTGCGTTTCAGGTTCAGACTGGGGAAGGAAGGGCTGATAAGGGAGTGTAGGAAGTGCAAGGATAATTCTGCATTTGTTCAGCTGTAAGGAAAGACCAGAGAATCACATGGATGTGAAGATTTTGGTCCCAGTGACTGCCTTCTTACCCTCAGGAAGGAAACCTGTAGGTATGCCCACCATTACTGGGCCTTTTGCTCCTCAGGGAAGACTGCAGGTAGGATATTCTCAAGGTCATAATGGGAGGAGCAGGAGAGGAATAGGTAAGACCTTTCCCTTCTTTTTACCTCTCCTCACTTTTTCCCTCCTCTCTTTCTTCCAAGCTTGAAACCCAAACTTGAGGAAAATTCCTTAAAAAAAAAAAAAGCAAGTTTGACATAAAATGCTTGAAAGCTGTTACCTCAGGCCACACTGCTTTGAAGAAAAATTGCAGTATTAGGATTAAAACCCTGAAGTTTCCAGCTTTGTTGTTCAGTCTGTTTGGAGCCAGGCTGGGGCGGGGAGGGGAGTTTGTAGTGGGGAACAAAGGGGAGCTGCCTGGACTGTGGGGAAAGCAAAGGATGCGTTGGGGTGCAGGGGCTGTCCCTGTTTTGCTGCAAGTCTTCATCTGTGTAAATTCAGTGAAACAGTTAAAGGAGGACATGTATATAATCTGCTTGACAGCAGGAGTGCTACATGAAATGAAGGGGATGGTTCAGTCCCAGAGAGCATGCAGTCTAAATACTGCCTGCTGCAGATGAACCCAGGGGACAGAATTAATTGGAGCTTAGTTGTAGCCTGATTTCTTAAAGAAGCAAGGTTTATGCAGTCAACCCGTCTGTCTGTCCCCTGTCTCTTCCAATCCAATAGCTTTTAATTCTGTCAGCCAAATTCATCCAGATTTATCAGCAGGGTAAAGGTCTCAAAGGCAATTACATTACTATCTGCCTCCCAAAATGTATAGCCACAAATGTTCTGTTAGTGCCTGGCATAAGAAAAAGCAGCAGTAAAAGCCTGCCTCTTCTCAGACTCTAGAGAAGCCATGTAAGAGAAACTTTGCAAAGGCCCGAGTTGCAGAAAAGCTTCACACAGCAATGACAGACAAAACATGCAGAGTCAGGTTTTGTAAGGTCTGGGGCCTCCAGAGTGTACTTGTTCATAAACTTTAATTTTGATTGTCTGTGGTAGAAGGAGAGTAAGTTTCTATAAGACGATACTTTTAGGTATTCCCGAAAAAGAAGCAGCAATGAGGGATGGTTTTGCAGGCAGAGATGGTGAGGTTGTCTTTGTAGAGGACGTGAGATGGAAAGGCTGAAAAGAAGTGGGCTTTGAGCCTGACCCCATCAGGAGAGGTCTGGAATTAGCAGTGGAGGAATGCAGTGAGAGCGAGCAGTTTCCATTGGGTTTGCTCCCTTGGTACACAGGACATTGCTGTTGAGAACAGGAAATTTAGTTTGCTCACCCGTTTGGTCATGCTGTCCTAGGGAATTTAATTTTAGCGCTCATGCTGAGATAAATTAGAGAGAGACAGCAAGAGTGGATGAAAGACTGGCAAGGGAGAAGTTGGAAAGTGCATCCCCGAGTGCTTTGTTTGTGGAAAAGAGAAGAAAAGATGGGGGCTTTTGACTATGATGTGGAAGATATGATCTGGACAGAACCTACATGAAAGGTGCAAAAAAAGGTCTTGTTTAGCTGTAAATCAAAGCCAAAAGGGGAAAGAACTGATGGCAAGTTGAAAGAATTTTAAGAGGGAGAAAGCAGTGCAGTATATCTTGCTGTACGACACGTTATCTCCCACCTTTCTGCAGTGGTACCCATGATGATGGGGGAGGTGGGCAGGTAGAAGTCTTTCATTTGCTTACATGTTGTATACTTAATCATAGTGCCAGTTGATCCCAGTTGCTGGAACTGTACCCTGAATGTCCAGCACTAACCCTTTTCTTCTGTTTTATATATATATTTGAAGCTGTGCAACTTTCCCTTGCTCTCTTTTATGTTTGTCATAGGATGGAGAGCTTTTCATTCCTTTTCGTTCAAAGGATACAATGTATCAAGCAAAATAGTACCAGATGTGTTCTGCTGGCTGTGCTCTAGGGATAGCTGCTATAAGCTGCTGCTTCTTTTCCAGCACTGGAACGGCATCGGTTCATGAAGCAGGCTCAGGCACTTGCACCTTGGATGTCACCCAACATGTTCTACAGAGGTGGTGATGGGAACTCCCAGCTTTCTTCTTACCAGCTGAACCCTCTGCTGCAACGAGGTGAGACCATGGACATTGTTTCGGGGGGAAATCAGGATGAGAAACTGGCAATTTCTCGCAGAGGTTCAGCAGTGAGGCTTTAGCCTCTCTACCACAAAAGCAAAAAGGTGTTTCTCCAGAACACCAAACCCAAGAAATATTGGCTCTGTATCTGCAGTATGCTTTAGACTCATCCGGGTGGATAAATACTATGTACCCATCTTAAGTGTCTTCCTAGTCTCAGTGCTGGGTGAAGTAGTTTAATGCTAACTGGGGTGTATCTGTGCTACACTGCAGCGACTGCAGGGTAAATATACCCAGCTTATCTCGCTTCCTTTGGTAGAGGAGGATACCCTCTCTTTGTTCTGCTGTGCTGGTCACGGTCAACTCCTTATAGCCAAAATTGATATGACAAGTGAAGTGCAATTTGTTTGACTTGTTATCAAATGTCTAGTCTTCATATGTTTGAGGGCAAATGGCCTTCTGTGCAATAGCTCTGTCCTGTATGCAGCAAAGAATGAAGGACTTATTACTGAACCAGGAAAGATTTCCCAGACATTGTCCCCAAAAATCACTTATATTAGTGGTATTTATTTGTGACTTTAATGGAGGAGAGAAGATGGAGTGTCAAAAGTTCTAGAGAAAGAAGTATTATCAAACTGAAAAAATAGCTTATTGCCAATAATGTTTTTAATTGTCTCCAAGGAAAATAGGGGAATTCAGCACGACTTCCCAAATAATCTTTAACAAATTTCCTTCTGAAATTAGTTTTTCATCACTGTCCAGTAGTCACAGATTTATACTGTGTCTGGTTAGTCTTAGCTGTTGTTTGAAGAAATAGTTTGCAAACATCTTGAATGCTAGATTCGAGGTGTTTGAGCATACGCTTTTTTAGCTTGCTAGTTAATTCTATGGTTACTATTTTTTCTAGCTAGGACACCGATTCTCTTTAGGAAGATCGGGTGACTGAGCCACCATGATTTAAGACACTAGAGCTTCTCAAAGATGTGTGCACGCTAGCAGAAAACAATGGGCAAATTTAAGTTCTTCAGGCAGTTTTTTTAGCTGATGTTTTCATAGTCACCAAATCTTTTGTGCTTAAGTTCCCATTAAATTTCTTTAAGGTCAGCTTTGAAATTGTAGAAACGTTGGGTGGAAGGGACCTCTAAGGTCATCTAGTCTTAAGCTCTCGTTCAAAGCAAGACTATCACCAAGCTAGATCACGTCAGCCATTGCTTTGTCTAATGAGTTTTGGAAATCTCCAAGGACGAAGAGTCCATGACCTCTTCGGGTACCTGTTCCAGTGCTACACCAGCTTCCTAGTGAAGAAATTTCCTCATTTGCTGCTTAATCTATACATATGTGTGTGTGTATGCATATATAAATACAAAATTTTCTTCTTTTGTAGTATTGACTCATGTTGCTTCCATTTCAATAAGATGTAACAGGAAAGCGGAACACTGAAATTTCTCTGATTTTTTTTTAAATTGAAATTTGGTATCAGTGCTGTAGAAAAAAAAAAAAGATTTCCTCTCTGAGTACATCAGCTAGATTTCCTGGTGTGCTGGGTGACTGATTTCTTTCTTCTGTGCTGCCCAAAACACAGGTAATGCTGCAGTTTACCAGTTACTGTGCTTTGCCCCTTACCTTGTACAGTGCGGATGTGCTGCCTGTGGTGCTTGAGACTTGCACAGCTCTTGCAGAGGCCTGTTTGCAGTGAGGAAGAGGAGGGGAAGAGAGGCTTAAAAGGTTTTCAGCCAAGATTATCTGTGGAGAGGGGCCCTCTCTTCCTTGTTTTGCCTTGACTTGCTGCATTGTTTTGTGCTCTCATCCTCAGATGTGTCTCTGCAGAGCAGTATTCCACTGGTGCAGCCACAAGGTCAGCTTTCCTCTAACAAGGGTGTCTTGGACTACCTGGAGTCTGAAATCCAAAACCTTAACCTGGCCCAGCCCCTGCCACCCTCCCACCAGCGGCAGGCCGTGCCCCACCCGAGCATGCTCTCCTCCCTTGGCTCCGAGATTGTGGAACGCAGGGTAATACGTCTGCCGCCTCTCATTGACCCTGCCCCATCCTTCCATGGGAGCAGCAACTCCTCACGCCCCCAGAGAGGTGCCCACACGCCCCAACCCTGGGACTCCCCAGCAGAGAACAAGAGGGAAAACCGGATGTGGCCCCGGCCTCGCAGTGGGGATTCTCACTCCACCTACAGTCGGGAGCCCTGGGACAGGCAACAAGAGGACCGTCCTCAGAGGCAGAGGACAGGCAGCTACAATGGCAGGCCCTGGCACTCCAGACGGGATGTGTCGCCCATGCACCAGGCTGAGAAGGGCAAGAGCAGCAGCAGCAGCAGCAGTTTCTACCCAGAAGAGGCCAAGGAGCGCTTCAGCTACCATCGTGACTCAAGACAGCGGCCCACAGGGAGGCGAGACTACCAGCACCACACCAGGAAGAGCAACAGCTCGGGTCACCGGCGGCACAGCTACTCTCCCCCTCCTCGGCGAGGGTCATGGAGCTCCTCAGAAGAGCGTGTCCATGTCCCAGTGGGAAACCACAAGCGTCATCGCCGGTCTCGGGACCGGCCAGAAGATAAACCCCCCAGTTATCGCTCGCTAGAAATCATCCCAGATCGGAACAGCAAGCACAAAGACAGTGTAGGGCCACGTTCGGTGAGTTAGCTGCCTTTGCTGCCTGCCTATCTAAGGGAAGAGGTGGGCTTTTGCAGGTGAGGGTGGATGGTTGTTACTTTCTGCAACCTGTTGTCTTTCCAAAGGAAGGCAAGGAGCGCTGGATGCCTTGTGCGGCTTAGTTAGGCTGCTGAGTTCCCTCCCCTGAGACATGTGTTGCATTCCTATAGCGTGTTCAGGGGCAAAGTGAGCAGTAAAATGAAGTAGCTCCCTTATCACATCCCACGCCCTCCAGTCCCTACTTAGAGCCTCTATGCGTTGGTGTCAGAAAAGCTGTTCTCCTAGCACTGCTTGGGGAGGAGCACATCCAGAGTAGGCAGCACTACTGTGAACCCCTCTACAGCCCTTTCTGGCTTTCGTTTACCTCTGATTTCTTTTGTTTTAATATGTGCATAATTCTCCTATTATCATTCTCCACCATATAATGTTTATAGTATCTTGGTGGTATTTCTAAGATGGTTCAGGGAAAAGCATCCAGGTAAGATGTCTAAAGCTACATTAAATAGACCTTAAGGTCATGGATGGCTATAGTGGTGAGAAACATGTGATCCTCCAGGCCAGGGTGGAAGAGGATGACTTGCTTGTTGGGACTCCTGAGCGCTGAACATGCTCACAGCAGGCAGGAAGATGTATGGTTTCTATGCGTCCTTCCATGTTCCTGAATCTCTTATTTTCTCTTGCAGGATAGAGGAAGTTCCCGCAGTGGAAGAAGCATAGTCATTTAATGCCAGTGCTGAAAGAACAGAGATTCCCACTGAACTCCTCTTAGTTGTCCCACCACATAGGCTGGGATGGCTGCTTTTGATTGGACAGGCAACAAGCAAAAGACCAGATAAAGTAGCTTCCCATGAGACTTGTGACTCTAAGGAATCTGTGTAGTGCCCATGGAAGCAATACCTAATGCTGCCTTATTCCTACTTTGACCTGGAAACTTAGGTTTGCAATGGGCTGTGGTGTGTTGAAAACATTGTATTGGAAATGGGGTATTTTTTTTTAGTGGCATTGAACAAACAGTATATTCCCAGCCTTTAAAGAAAGATACCAGTTGTCCTTGTTAGATGCTCTGGCACTGCAAGGAGCCCAGTCTGTAGAACGCTGGTCCTTTGCACGCTGCTCACTGGTGAACGGCTGAGGTAATAACAGAGTCGTAGAGTCACAGAACAGTAGAATAATTTAGGTTGGAAGAGACCTCTGGAGGTCATTTGATCTGGCCCCCAGAGAGCGAGGTGTAGTGAGGCATGGCTTTCCAAGGTTCTCTGTTGTGCTTCAGAATGTGTAAGATTTGCTTCTTCTGCCTTGCTGTTTGGCATAGTTAAGGGACAGTTGCTTCCTTTCACCCCAGTAAGCTTCTCTCTCAGACAGAAGAACCATAATATTAGAAGTATGTTTGACCACCTTAATAAGGGCTCACTAGCACATCTGAAAATTGTCAACTCATCTACCCGTCACTGACTGAACCAACCTGCTCTATTTTAAACACTTGTAGTTAAAGGTACTTGTGCTAGCCTTTAACCAGCCTTGCCTTTATTTGTAAATTTAAAGGGCTAAATTTAACCACATTTGGCTGTCCTCTCAGGGACTGAGCAAGGTATGACTACTGTTTCTGGTACTGTGGACTAGAATTTCCTTCAACTCTAGGAAGCATGACTTTGGTGGATATATCTTTCTTGAGGCATGTACTGTTCTGCATGCATTTTATGTTCTCCTTTTGTTCTCCGTGCCATTGTGTACATGGGGTAGGGTAAAGGGCTCTGTGAGAAGTCTTACAGTCACCATTTTATTACTGCCCTACCAATAATACCAACTCCAAATATGTTGTGCATCTGAGCTGTAGCCAGATTGCTGGGTTTTCCTGTCTGTTACCTTGCAACTTGAACAGAATTTATCTGTGCTCTAAGACCAGTTGATAAGGAGAACAACTTGGCATTTCTCCTTGATGAGATTCATCTGCTGTTTACATTAGAATGTGCTGAAAAATCAGAGATGTTCCCTGGATGTTGGATGCTGGCTGCCTCTACAGGAAACTGGCTTTCCAAAGGTGGTACTTCGATTTGTGAGACTCAACTGTTTATGAAGAACTTTCGGAGCATCTTGTGAGTTATTTTGTAACCCAGAGGCGCTAGTGATTGGCCAAGGTCAATCATTATACTGCCTAAGTTATTTCCCAACCGCTACCAGATAGGACATTTTCTACTATTTGTTCTTTAATGTCCCAGGTGGTGATGTGCTTACACTTTCCCTTGGAAGACTGACTTGGAGATGCTTTCGTTTCATCTGCCTCCCTTATTCTTTTCTTTGGACAATGATAGGAAACTTCCTGCTTGGAGCATATACTTCTAGCTGGATACCTGAAGCAGTTGCTGGTCAACCACAGGCTATTATGGGGAACGCTCACGTTCCTACAGTTCTTTGATTGATAGCGCTATTTCCTGATTCATGTGTACAGAGAGAGAGCAGGAGGACTTACTAGTCCCTCTGGTAGGCTTTGTTTCAGAAGTGGAGGCCTACTTGCTAGCGACAGAAGGGCTGTTGGACAGCAGTTGATGACTAGCACAAAATGGAATGAAAAGGATGGGTCCTTCAGAGCTAAAAGAGCAACTCCAAAGTTGGAATTCAAGGAGGGAAGGCTGTAATAAGCTCAATCCTTGTCTGCATTAGACTCAAACTGTGGACACTGCGAACTGACCCATGAATTACACTTGATGTATGGGGAATTAAGCGTGTTTGCAGAACTTGCAGAGCCAGTATCACTCTTGAATCTGACTGTACTGAGCTCACTGGCTGTGAATCATTTTTATTCTTATTTAATGACATGCCGGTGATGGGACTTAGTAATGTTCTGAGGGTTTTATGCATCTCTTGTTTTATGGCTGGAATTTTTTTAATTTAGGAGGAGTTTATGGTGACTGCAGTGACAGAAAAATACGAGTCTCCTTCTTCCAAAACTGGCATCCTGTTTTGGCTTTAGCATTGCCCTTTGCCAACTAGTAGTAGATACCCAGGGTCTGGAAGATTCTTCCCTTGGAAGCTGAATTAGTGGCTTGGAATTGGACTCTCTCCTTTGCTTCCCATAGATCTATGCAGGAAAACCTCCTCTTCCTATCACCTCAGCCCAACCCAAATGTCCAGGATTCAGGGAAGGACTGCCCGTCTCTCCATCAAGAGCAAAGTCTACTGACTTCAGCTGAGATCCCAAAAAAAAAAAACCCAACATTTGTCCAGCAAGTTTTCCCAAGAGCAAGGACCCCCTCACACAGCAAGAAAACCCAGATGACTCTGTGTAAGAGTAGCAGCTGTTGAAGCTTGCCACTGTAGTATGAACATAACTAACTGCAGTTCCAAACTTTTTGATCCAAATCCTATGAAGGAGCCATCCATCTTTATTCTTTCCTCTGGTCCCCATAATTGAGCTAGGGTAGCTAATTGTAGATTGTGTGAATTTGCACACGCTGTGTGAAGTCTGGAGAGTTTTATCGTTACCATGCTTGAACTCCTGTTCAGTCACTTTGTTCATATTTATGGAAACATCAAACAAAACTCTTCAGGGAAAATTGATTGTATCTCAGACTTAATTCTGTGACTTCTTAAATTGCAGACAGAAGTAGATTAGGTTATCCAGCAAGGAAGCAGAAATGGTACAAGGTTTACTAAAATATGGTCCACAGACCACTGAGGTTCATAAAACACCAGTTGGTGGGCTGTGAAATAATTAAAAAGGAAGTTTATATATGCATGCTTCACAACTGCAATTAGACAGAAAAGTGGGAAGAAAATAGGCTACACTTTGAATGCTTATTTCTATTTTTAATTGGCTGCAAATGAAAGCCATTGTGACAGCACTGCACAATACTGTGTGGACTTTTTTCTTCCAGGAAGATTACAGCGTCTTTTGACTTTCCAAAAAGGGACTGAGTGAACTGGGCAGCTCAAATACTACACGCTGAAAAGAAATAACAGTAGGAAGTAGCACAGCCTAGTTCTTTCTAGGCTATAATATATTCATGTTTAATTTTCAGCCACTGCAAAGAGCTGATGTTCCTACGTCAACCCATTTGTGGTGAAAGAAGTTGAATGTGTGTCACGTTTGGCAGTTACTGCCATTCTAGACTTTTGTTGTTCCTGTCACGCAATTGAAGGAACGTACCTTACCCCCAAGAATGAATTTTTCTGCACCATTGAAGATAAAGTGCCTTGATAGCAGTTGGGACTACTCTAATTAAAATAATAGCGTAATGAGTAGGGGACCATGCCATGTGGGGCAGAACGGGACACCCATGCTGCTCCTGGCAGCTGCTTTCCACTTCAGACCAGAGATTTGTGAGAGAGATAAAAATCATGTAATTTTTCTTTGATTAAGAAAGGACTTGCATTATCTGGCTTTCTTGCTTATTTGCAGAGCACTCTGCCATTCCAGAATGCCGTTCCAGGAATGGAGGGCAAGGGCTGCTTCTTGTGTAATCATTGATCTGGTCTTGACCAATTGCCTGTTTGGCAGTAGAAAGTGCTGAAAAGCCCAGTTGCTATCTCTAGGATTGTATTCATGATACACTAACTTTAGCACTAGCTAAAGTTAGGCTAACTTGTGGGGGGAGAAAAAAGCCATTACCTTGTGGTGATTGATAGCAACCACAATGCAAAGCTCTTCAGCAGTATATATTATTGCTCATGGTAGCTAAATCCCCTCTGTGTTACTACCTCCAGCAGCACAGCAGTTTAAAACACCACTTACTGTGGTTAGATACTTCAGTTTGTGGGCCTGACATAGGAGAGAGATGACACTTAAGATTATATTAAATGAACACCCACAAGTGATGACTGCCCCTTGCTATTTCTGTTAAGTTTAATGCCTATCAAGTGCCTTGTACTGGTCTTCCACATGTTATTCCAGCTGTAAAAGCAGATGGCAAATGTGTACATTTTCTTCAGTGATTGTCAAATGTGTAATTAAAATGTATGAGAACTTTCAACCAATTGTTCTTGTGTGTTCTTCCTAGACCATAAATTGCTTTTTAGTGTTTGCACCAGAAGTGGAATTGAAAATTCTTTGTTCTTACTTCTGGAATTAACCTTGTTAGATATTAGTAGGATTTTTTTGTTGTCATTGTTTGGACAAAAATGCGAAATGGTTTGTCTGTATGGGTTTTGTTGGGAGGAAATGTTTTTCATATTTTGTAGGGCTTTTCCTTTGTTTTTTAAGAAAGCAGATAATAAGTAGTCCACTGAGAGAGTGGGAAAAATGGCTGGGAAACCATTGGCAGCCCTCCTTAATGACATGACCTCAGCTGTGGCAGTGAAGCAATCATTGACTTGGCTTCCATGTCTGTAAAATGAGTGCTTACTGTTTAGTTCTAAACTATTTTGAGCTCATGAGAAGAAAAGTCTTCTAGAAAATTTTATTCGGTTGATAAGATGCTGGTGGAGCTCTTCACGAGGCAGTCGCTTAATAAATGAGTCACTGTCGTGAGTATAGGAACAGAGGTCTGTTGGGTCTCACATAATAGGCTTAATTTATGCCTCAGGTCTTCCCCTTTTCCCTTAGCTAACGCTATTCATAGCACAGTGTTGCTGCCTTTCTGTCTCTCCCGCTCCTACTCAATGTTTATATGTGCCAAATACAGATGGTTGGCCTGACTGAGGACCCAGCGGGAACCTGACGCTCAAGCTACATGCCATTCAGTGGCACTGCAGCCACTTTCTGGTTAGGTCCAGTTCTCCAGGGAGCCTGGTGAGAAGTTACGTTTCCCCTGTGCAAGTTTTGACAGCTGGCTCAGGTGTATGCCCATCTCATAAGCCTGTATAGAAAGGGTTGGACACGGGAAAAGAAGA